CCCGCGCCGCCGCCGCCGCCGCCGCTGCGCGCGACTCCGGCCACAAAGGGAGCGCAGCGAGCGAGCCCGCAGCCGGCGAGGCGCAGACTCCTCCCCATGCCGCTCCGTGATGTCACGCTTTCCTGTTCGTGCTCGGGAGTGCACTCTCCCTTTCTTAAATCCCATGGATAAAGTTAGCAAGGAATCATTTCTCCAGGTCCGAAGGTGATTGGAAAACAACCCTTTCAAGTTTTTCAGGTTTTCCTGATGGTCACCAGGTGCCAAACTAGAACTGTGTGTGGGAGGAAGGATAGAAGTGTGTGAGTCTTCTTCCTTCGCTAAAAACAAAACATACAAACAAACAACAACAAAAAAGGGGGGGGGGGAGGCAGAAAAACTTCTATCATCTGCCTATTATCTATTTCAAATTCAGAATAATTAAGTAAGAGTGACTCCCAACGAGAGCAGCAATACTCCAAGCCGGGAAGTTTTTCATTAGGACAAAGATAAGGTCAGAGGATACCCCAATATTCCAAAAACCATGCCCAGGGGCTGGGCCCTGTTCTGCATCAGCACACTGCCACCAGGAAATGGTTCTGGACGTTTTTCTACCACCCATTATGATAAGGCCCAATTACGGGTAACTGGCCATTGTGAGTGGGAAGGGGACAAAGCAGGGAAGGATTTTGTGAGACTGACAGACTAACAGTGGCCACTGATGAGTGGCCCTGGAGGTTCTGCGAGTCTTTGTAAGAAGACACTGTACTGTAGGGGCACAGTGGAATAACAACTGCAGGGAAAAGCCTTCATAAGACGACTGCCAGCAGGAGTTATAACAGAAAGATCTGATATCAGGACAAGAGATTATTACATTTTTTAGATCCAGTTTTAATAAGTTAACAGCAAGAGATACCAGATGACAACGGAGTCAAACTCGGCACCTGCCAGAACTGCATGCCAATTACAAAAATCTTTAGGGCTCTTATCTTTCATACTATTCACCTCTAAAATTCACCTCCAAATGAATTTAATCACCTTTAAATTTAAAAGAAAAAAAAAGGAAAAAGGTCTCCCACTAATTGCCATGCCATATCATGAAATGAAAAGTTAGAGATTCAAGCGTACTGATGCCCCAGCAGAGCAGAATAAAGACAGCAAAGGCGCATCTAGGAAAAACGCAAGGGTCTTTGGACACTTGAGAACATCTGAAGTCACTGAGCCAAGTAACCCTCATATAACCAGAACCTACAGGGCTTGGTTATTGTGTAGAGAGGAGAATGCTCACTTTATCAAACTGAAGTGGTTGTTTCTATGGTTTAAAAAAACAAAAGAAGCACACAGACTAGATCCTTCTGTGATGACCAGGACAGTGTCCCCAGGAGCCAGAGAAAAATCATGTGGAGGCCCTACCTCCCTGTTTGTTAAGCCATCCTCAGGACCCCACCCCTACAGGACCTACTCAGTGATCTTGAAGACCACAAGGTGTAACTGAAGACAGTTAAGCAACCCATAAGATTAATTTCACCACTACTAACCATGAATTTGGAGATTACTGAAAATTTTCCACCTCAGGCATACAAACATACTTCAAAAAGTTCCTGGAAAGATTTGTATTATCTTTGAATTGTGTTTCTCCATGAACTTTTTGAAGAAACCTTGTATCATGCAGTTTCTTCAACCTCACTCCTCCCAGGAAGCCTTCCTGGGCAGTGCAGCTCTTAGCTGACAAGGTCCCACTCAGGGTTCAGATCTCCTCACCCGCTTCTCTACTCCACCAATTCCCTGGCTGGCCACCTGGTGTGTAGAGGGAAAAGGACTGGCTTCGAGGCAAGTGGATCCAGATTCACCTCCAGGCTTACAGTAAGAGTGAACTTCGATGCTACTTCTCTGAGCCTTAATTTTCTCATCTGTAAAATGGAACAAACATCTACCTCAAAAAGTTTGAAAGAGGATTAAATGAAATAATGTATGCAAATCATTTAGCACATGGAAAGTGATCAAAAAAGTTCCTTTCCCTCCTTATTGCATTTCCTCCCAAAATGTATTTATACAGATTCACTAAAAAGTTGTTTTATGTATGCAATGTAGGGAAATCTGAAATGATGACTTCTCACTGAATTATGTCAAAATTTCACAGAGGTTTTTCTTTTCTTTTTGTGGCTGGCCAGTTTGAGGATCCACACCCTTGACCTTAGTATTATCAACACCAAGCTCTAACTAACTGAGCTAACTGGCCAGCCCACAGAGAGGTTTTTCAAGAATAACTATTTGCATTTATGCCTGATAATGTATGTGATTTTGTACGAATGCTGTTCCATTAAAAAAATAATAATAAAAAAAGGCTGGCTTAATGTTAGATAGAACAATTATATGCTGCAGTTCACAATTTTTTTATATTTATTTTAAAATAGTTCACCTGCAGGCAGTTCAGTTAGTATTATCTTACTACCTGTACCTTTGGGTTAAAATACTCGTGGTTAGGCCGGCCCCGTAGCGCGCTCGGGAGAGTGTGGCATTGGGAGCGCAGCGACGCTCCCGCCATGGGTTCGGATCCTATATAGGAATGGCTGGTGCACTCACTGGCTGAGTGTGGTGCGGGCGACACCACGCCAAGGGTTGCGATCCCCTTACCAGTCATGAAAAAGACAAAAAAAAAAAATACTCGTGGTCAATATATGGAAAGGATTTTGAATTTATATACTGGACTATGCTGTTCACGGCCTAGCAGGGACCCTCCTTTGTTAAAAGGAGATCAGCACTGTTTTGTAGTTTTCAGTGTACATGTCTTTCATCTCTTTGATTAAGTTTATTCTTAAGTATTTTATTCTTTTTCAGGCTGTTATAAAGATGATTCCTTTCCTAATTTCATTTTCAGGTTGTCTGTTTTTAGTGTATAGAAACACAACATTGATTTTGTATTCTGCTATTTACTGAAGTTGTTTATTAGTTCCAACAGCTTTTTTTTTGTCAACACAAATAAATGGGAGGACAGCCTATGTTTATGGACTGGAAGATTTAATATGTTAAATGTCCATGCTACTCAAAACTATCGACAGATTCAATGCAATCCCAATCAAAATCCAATCGCATTTTTTATAGAAATAGAAAAATTAATCTGAAAATTCATATGGAGCCACAAAGGACCCCAAATAGCCAAAGCAGTTTTGAAAAAGAAGAACAAAGCTGGAGGTCTCACACTTCCTGATCTCAAAACATGTTTCAAAGCTACAGTGATCAAAACAGTATGATACTAGCATAAAGACACACACATAGACCAATGAAACAGAAGAGAGCCCAGAAATAAACCCAAGTGTATATGGTCAACTGATCTTCAATAAAGATGCCAAGGGGCCGGCCCGGTGGCGCACTGCTACAGTGCACCGCTTGAGAGCGCGGTGGCGT